GGTGAATGGCAAAATTGAAAGATGGGTCAAATTGCGGCCGCAATCTATTTCACAGTTGGAATGATTTTTTTAAATTTATGTAGCGTTTGTCCTGGAAAGATAACAACAAAATTTACGAGTACTCCAATTTTCAGGTTTTTTCACGCATTCTTCTGAGCGTGAAAACTCACTGAATTTGGATTACTTTTTTAGTTGGTCCAGGCATGGTTGAGTGGCAAAACAAGAAAATGTGCTGAATCGGCGCGACAATTATTTCGCAGTCTAAATGATTTTTTGTAAATGTTTTATTATTATTTCTGGAAAGAACACGACCTCATCTATGGATTCTCAAAATTTCAGATTTTTGTGCATGTTCGTCTGAGCACAGAAAATCGTCAAAGTTGCCTCTTGCAAAACGCCTGTTTYGTTGTGCCTGACCTCCCTGTTTTGAGAAGACGGGGCTCAACGCCTGGGCCTGAGGGCCCTTTTGCACATCACATGCCCTCACTTCTTTTTGGGGTCCGCTTCTACCCGAGGACCGACCCAACGCCCCCACTTCTTTTTGGGGTCCACTTCCACCCGAGGACCGGTCCTTCGTTTTTCCAAAAGTCCCGGTTCTACCAGAGCTAGCTGTAGGTAGTCCGCAATTTTGGCAAGGACCGGTCCCCCAAATTTTTTTGCCCCCGAAAAACCCACTTGCGTCCTGGTCGCCCGCTGCCAAAAATGCGACACCTTGACACAGATGTCGAAGCCCACTATACCGCAGCCTAAGGGCTGCGAATTACGTGAGTGCGCGAGCATGTTTTCGACACCGCCATCTTTGGCGATTTTTCATTTTTTTTTGGCAAAGCTAAATGCCCTGAAAATTTACATATGTGTACTTCACATAATACAAAACCCACTAAAAAAGTTTCAAAAAATAATAAAATTGTTTAGACCCCGAACTAAAGTGAAAACAAAAAGTAAAAAGTGAAAAAAAACGTGGGCGAGCACGTTTTGACATTGCCATCTTTGGCGATTTTTAATTCTTATTTGGCAAAGACAAATGACTTGAAAATTTATAAGCATGTGCCTCACGTCATAGAGAACTCATAAAAACCAATTCAGAAAAAACAAATTATTTTTAGGCCCCGAAATATTTTTTGGCGGGGGCCGAACGCCGTCGGGTTCAGACCCCATACGGGACCCCGAACGCCCGAACGTACGGAGGTTCGCCCGGGGGCCTCCGTACGTACGGGCTGGTAACCCTGTATATATATATATATATATTGTTATATGAACCTTAAAAAAATCAATTTCCATACTATATAGATTTAGATGTTTTGAATTAACGGCAACCAACTGTCAGGTCAGGCTGCCAATAAGACACTAAACCCACCCCCTCGTCCGGGGGACACGTGGTAAGTACCATTGTTGGTGTTATGTACATGCATTCTTGTACAGGAGGTACGGTGTGCCTTAGTTAAAATTTAGGAATGATTTTGTATACCCTGTTTGTATGGTGGCGTGATGTAATACATAAATCCACCTATGAAGGATATCATACATCAGTGGTTCGAGTGGGACTTCGTTATGCTATGATTTTGTTCATTGCAGTGTCATCACCACATACGGGGATGCCCCGTACGGACCCATCCGTACAACCCATATGTATGGACTTCCGGCCCTCCATACGTGACATTCCAGAGGGTGTTGAAAGGGTGGATGGATTGCGGGGGGTTGCGGGTGCCGGGGGGTACTACCCATCAATATATATATATATATAATATATAATATATATATATAATATAATATATATATATATATATATTAGTTAAAAAAAAGAAAAAAGATTGATTGATTGATTGATTGATTTGCTGTGTGGGGGTCGCCTCCCTCCCGCGAATACACGCACACACACACATACAAAAAAAAAAAAAAGTATGGCAGTGTATATTTCCATGTTCTAGTGATAGATTCATTTGATTTTGCTTATTCTATTGATGGAAGTACCATGAGCCCAGCCACGAGGTTAGAGACTTCCTTGCTCTCTCTCTCTCTCTCTCTCTCTCTCTCTCTCTCTCTCTCTCTCTCTGTGTGTGTGTGTGTGTGTGTGTGTGTGTGTGTGTGTGTGTGTGTGTGTGTGTGTGTGCTGTCTCTTATACACATCTAGATGTGTATAAGAGACAGGTGTGTGTGTGTGTGTGTGTGCGTTGGCGTACGTCAGCGGTTTTTTTTTTTCGACAGTAAATATTTAAAAAAAATACTACGGAGGCCCTCGAAATCCCCCCTACCATCCCTGGCGCTCAAACCCCACCCGTCACCCTCCCACAGGACGCAAGTACGTTTGGACGGGGCCCGTCTATACGACCGTATGCCTGTTCGTACGTTTGTACGCACGGGCCGTACGCAGACCCCTCGTACGGCGTATTGTGTCAATAGTAATATTTTTTTTAACTTTTTTTTGTCTTTCTTTCATTCAAGTATGACGCCTTTTGTAGAAATTGAAGCGATTTGGCCTCCAAAAGGTATTGATGTGTTCGATCATTAGGGAATCCCCTTTCTAAATACTCTTATTCTCTGTGCGTCTGACGTGTGGCCTCTGAGAATCGAATGAGGTGTTTTATCTAGTGAGCCTGTTGATTTACTCTATCCACTCGAGTGACCTTTTTGTCGTATTTCTTGGCAGTGTATGTAAGAATTAGGAGTGTTCCAGCATATAGCAGGATTTTACAACTGACAGTTAGAGTTATTGTCGCCATTTACTGGGGCTTCCATTCGAAGCTTTATGTGACTTTTCCTTTTAACCTTCCAGCAACGGGAAGGTGTCAAACTCTATCCA